ATTCATTTTTAACTCTTTATTGAAAATAAGTTGCAGTTGGTACATGGACACTGAAAATACATAATAACAGATTGTTCTCTCAAAAGATATTTTTATATATATAATATATACAAAAGTTGTAAACATTTTTAACTTATTTCCATACACAGTCCACTTTATACTACAATGCACATAAGGTTAGTGACAACTGCAACTCTTCAAAGCGGTCTGCTTATACAGAGGTATCTGCAAAAAAACTTAAATTTGCAAACACATTTGGTATCGGTTTGATATTAAAACTCTTAAAGAATCTGAGGTTTAAATGCATATTGCAACAAAATACAGGCAGCTGAACTTGGGTTTCAAGTTGATACAGCGAGGGCTGTTTCTGAGCCTCACTGGTGGGGGGAGAGGGTCTTCTGACACACGCAGCTTCAGGACGCTATCTGGAAACGTGCTAGGGGCGAGCCAGAGCGGAACGAGACCCATCCGCCCTCCCCAGCACGCTCTGGGAAAACAAAGGCTGAAAGGAAGCTTGCAAATCTATACGGTAGCTTTTATGGAGAGAAATACTGATCCCACAAAAGTAATGATGTGATTTACTAATGAACGGACAACGACCACAGTTAGCTTAAAGTGACCTCATAGCTGCAGCAGGCAGAACTAAGGAAGAGCCAGCCATCCGCCATTTTGGGGGTTGGTTGCGGAGGGAGAAGGGTACGAGTTACCCCTGTAAGGATCTGCTGGTTAGCAGAAGTGGAAAAGAAATGCCATAGTTGTCACTTGCTGCTGTAGCACGAACTGATGGGAAACTCATCCTACAACGTGTCGAGGCAGAACAGCCAGTGAAACCCCAGCTGCTCGTAGATGTAACTTAAAGGGAGGGGTCTGCTCAAACTGCGTGAGATACGGAAGCGTGTAACGGGGGGAGGTCTTTTTTACTAAGTGTCAGTTAAGCAAAACTTCCACTTTTCTAGGAATAGCTTAAAATGTTGGAAAAAAAAGTCCAATTTTTTTCAAGTCTTTTAATATGCTTAAAACAAATATGCAAAACCCGTGATGTGGTTAACTTCAGTGCTGAGAAATATCTATGTTGTCGCAACAGAACCTCCTGGAGCAAGGTGATTTGGTAGAACACATCTCCAGGAAAGGTCCAGGATTGTTTGAATTCTATTCTGTACACCCAAATTCAGTGCTAACACTACGCAGAAGTTTTCGGCATGCTAGTCTGAGAGCGGCACAGTCCTGCCTTCTGCGAGCTCGCGTTAGCTGCTGGGCTTCTGAGATCTCCAGGAGAACAGAGGCTATATTAAACAGCTTGCGAGGACGGCATGGGGGTAGCAGCTGGCATGGCGCAAATTCACAGCACAATCCTGGCATGCTTTTAGGACGTGGCCTGGCCGGTTACAAGGAAAGCTGCTAGTGCTACTGTGCCACAGCGAATGCGCCGGGAGGAAGAAAAAGTGGGAGAAAGAAGTACAAGGATTGATGTTACAAATACTTGAACCCCAAATAATATGCTACAGTTATTACATCAATGGATCTAATTCTCTAACCATAAGCCCGTAAGGTTATATTTAGTTACAGTCCATACCTGTATACACTAGTCTGCCTGACAAGTCACGGACACGCCAGTGTGCTACGACAGTTAATGCACGGCACTGCTGACACTGAACGGCTAGCGGGGACGCTGCGGGGGCTTGCAAAGAAAGAGGATTTCGTACAGCGGGTAGGCACGTGGCATCGCTGGCCAGGCTGGGGGCCGGCGTCTCACCCTGCCTTTAAGCACGTTTTAATTCAGCAGGGCCTCGGCAGCTGCCAGCCCATGCTGCCATGGGGTCAGGGAGCTACACAGGCGTTCGGCAACGGCCTCGCCAATAAACCAGAAAATGGTTTTTGTTCAAGGTGGGCAAACGCTCTTTCCAAGGCATGTGTGTCTTTTAGGTGTTGCGGTATCGCATTAATTACAGCTTGTCCCGTCCTGCCTGGCTGACACAGCCTCGGCGGGGCGACCATGTACATAAACTCATTGCTGTTGCCTGGAAAAAATGCACCAGTTGTGGGCTGCCTGCCCGTACGTGCTGCCTGCCTCTGCAGACCCGGTCCTTCCCAGTGCCACCCCGGCGGGGACGTCCTCCCCTCCACCGACAGGGACTACGGCAGATTTTTGGTGGCAGAGGGAGGAGGGTTGAGATTCCTTGAGGTGCCTGTTGGTGTGGCTGGACATGTTATTCCCGGCTCCGGTTTAATCAAGGAGCAATCTGTTCTGCCTTCCTGCTGCCAGGAAGCCTCTTGGGCGCCCAAGCCCCTTCTCCTCCTCCTCTCCTGCCCAGCAAAACACAGCCAGGTCCTTGCACGCTCACTGTGCCGACTGCAAGTTAAAGGTAACACTGACTTTTGGGGTGCTGTGAAAAGCCGCTGACCTTGAGAAGAACAACGGTGCTTCGGCCGGGGGCTGAAGTCGTCCCCATTTCACCGTTGCTGCTCTCAAGGTCGGGGCTGGCGTGAGAGCATGCGTGTGCGTGTGTGTCCCTTCTGCGTCCCACCGCCGGCGGGGGGGAGGGTGGGGAGGAAAGAAAGGCAATGCAGGCCTCGGTGCGTACATTCAGATGTTGTAATATTCAGCATGGTTACACCAGGGGTCAGGACACGTCCCGCAGTCAGACAGAGCTTTAGTTCTTTACGGTTACAAGGAAACTCTGGAACACTTATATAGTTAGAAAAAATACAATGTACTGAACAAACATTATCTCACATACAATCAATTTAAACATTTAAATTGATTATAATTTTGCTAAAATATTAACACAAGCACTGTTTGTGCTGCTAAAATTTCAGTGTTCCCTCTAAGGAAAATATTGCTACAGTTCTACCGTACCCTGTATTAAAATCCTTTGCCCTTTTTTTTTCCCCCAGCAAGACTGACTCTGGAAAAATCGCAAGGGTCATGTAATTAATTTAGGCTTATGCCATACTGGGGTTTGGGTGTCCCTGGTCTACTTAATGCAAGGATGTCTCACTGTTCACTAAGCCCTGCTGGCACAAGCCACTGCCAGATGCCCCTCAGTCACCTCTTCCTTGCTCCTTGCATTAGCCAAGCAAGTGACACCTCCGATAAAGCAGTGCAGCATCCTCCTGCTCGTGCTCCTGCCTCCGCCGCCGCTGCGGGCAGCAGGGCCAGGCAGCGGGGCTGAGCGCTGCCTACCCTGAAAGTGCTGGGACCTCAAAGTGGGTGCAAAGGTGTCCAGAGGGAGAGAGGTCTTCTCTGCTGTCGCTGCTGGGAAAGCCCGTGGTGGGGATGGCGACGGGACACCAGGTCTTGGTACCACTGCATGTGGCCACGCTGTGTGGGGAGGCTGCAGTGGCGCAGGAGAAGTGTCCGAGTTGGGAAACGCTGTCTGAAAAATCCCTGCGCAGCTCCAGTGGCTCTGGTGCTGCCAGGCGAGCAGGAGGAGCTCAGCTCCAGCCAAGCAAGCCTTCACTGCAAATGCACATTTTAACCCGGCCTGAATAGTAGGGGATTCAAGTAACGCATTTTGTCACTGATAATGACTGCTCAGGATGAGATTTGCTGCTTATTAATTAATGCATTTATTTGCAATTTAGCAGCAGAAATGAGCGTGTTAATGATGACAAAAAAACTGCTGGGTGTTTTTGCTACAAGAAGAGCTGGGGCAGTCCGGTAACTATTGCTTGTCACGAGGTCAGAAGGCAGCACGCAACTTTTGCTGGCATAAACCAGCGAGGCAAAACCCGGGCTCACCAGGAGCCGGGGGCCTCTAAGGATGGAGCTGCCACCGAGGTGGTTGGGAATTCAAGTTTCAGCTCCTTTGCTCAGTTCTTAGTGACAAATAGCTCAGATCACAGCCACCGCGCAGGCAGAGAGGCAGGGAAAGCAGGCAGGTTGCTGACAAGGATCTACTGGATTTCGCACACTGAGTTGTTTTTGACAAGGCAGGAATTTTGCAGCTGAAAACCAAAACTCAGCCTCTTTCCCAGGCATTTTTCATTCACTCTCTTCTCCCACTATTTGCAAACAGGGGGCCGTGTGCCCCCACATGATGGACTTCAGTGGCCTGTAAAGTCTTTCCAATTCTCTGCCTGAATTCCTCATTTCTAGAGACCGCAGGGTAAATGTATGTTCACCCCTGAGGTTCTGCTGCAGCTGATGGCAGATGGTGGCTGCTCCCAGGATAAAAATACAGTTCAAAGCCACTCCTAGTTGATTTGGACTTTTGAGTCACTGACACCCCCCCCCACTTTTGTGTTGGTAACTCTGGGTTTGAGCGTGAGTAAGTGTTCAGTGTTGCCAACCAGAAACTTTGTAAATTTGCAAACTTTCCTAACCCCTCGATGAAGTGGAACTGCAACGCGCCGTATTGTCCGCTGATAAAATGCTATTCCTAATTAGCAGCCAACTATTGCTGAACTGGTTTCCAGTTTCAAACAGTAACTTTTTACATCCTCAATCAGAACCATGTTGAAGCGTAGAAGCAATTTGGATATTCAACACAAACCCCAACCCGCTGTGCCCCCCCATGCCGCTTGCATCCTAAGCTAAGTTTTAAACACCTGTTTGGATTTCTTTTTTTTTTTTTGTACAGTAAATATATACAAATAAAAGTAACACAGACACCGCTATTTCTTTGTGAATTTGGCACCTTCCGTGGAACATGTACAGGAAAGCTCTGTAGCGGCACGGGGCCAATCTCCCCAGCGCCACCCACCCACCCTCGCCACCATGAGACCGATTCTGTGTTAGCTCTGGAAGAACGAGATAAATAGCAACTCCTCAGCTACTGCATTTTCTAACAGGAAAAGGTATTCTGGGCTTTCCCAGGCACTCAGCAGAGCCCAACGCCGATTGCCCGGTGTCAAGCCTCAGAGAGGGCATTTATTCATCTTTCGTCACGTGTAGGTGATGTGGTAGCAACCTTCCTTCCTTCTGACTTAGAGGGAACACTGCTTTTATAAAACCCTTGGACAGGTAAGACAAGAACCAATACCACTGTACAGAATTCACTGCACAACTAGCTAATAGTAAGGAACCCAGCACTGACTTGCCACATTAAGGAAATGGGACTGAATACATTTGCAATCAACCGGTTAAGTGTACTGCACCGTAGGACTCGGTCTGTTGGTACACGGCCCTCGCCCCTCAGTACGCTGGCACTTGGTAACCTTTCGGGTTGGCATCTAAGGTTTCGGTGAAGGGGGGGCTCTGGTAGGTCTCTGTGCTCTCGATGCCGCTGCCGGTGGGGTAGCCGGGGTACGCCGCGTTGGGGTCGGTGGGGAACTGATCAGTGGCAAAGAGCGACATGTCCGTCCCCAGGCGGTATCTCTGCAGTGCCTTCACCGCCAGTGCGACCTGCCCCAGGATGGAGGAGGGTTAGGGGGGGATGGCAACACCGCAGCCAGGACCCCACATTCCCCCAGGACCCCACATCCCCCCACAACCTCGCATCCCCCCACAACCTCGCATCCCCCCAGCTTGCTGCAAAGCACCGAGCACACCACAGCATCCCAGGCGGCTGCTGCCCCTGCTCCGTTAAAGCTGAGAGCTAAAGCAACCCTGAACCACAACCCCTAATGCTAAAGATGCCATTTCTATGTGACTGGATGACCCCCAAATCTCTGCCTAGGGTGGGGGTTGCAGCCTGGGCTCAGGTCCCTGGCCATGCAGATTTGGCACCATTGGCACTAATAAACCAATCATCTGCTGCGGGGAGGGAAAGCTGCTGAGTCCCGGGCCAGCAAAATAGGTCAGTTCTGCCGAGACTTCTTCACTCTCTTCCAGGTTGCCAGTATTCAGGCCGCAAACCATGGGGAATGCGGGTGGCAGAGATGTGAGTGCACCACGCTTGCTCTTATTTCAGGAGGTTTCATTAACAATTCAATTAGTTTATAAATGACAGGCTCAGGGGGGAAAAAAAACACCCACAGACACTGAGAATGGCTTCCCAACCACCGCCCAGTGCCTGCTCCCCAGCGCTGGTTGTGTGCCCATCAAGCAGAGCACCTGGGTTTATTAATGGTACCAGCGGAGGGGCTGCCGGTGCAACCCTACAGCCCAGCAAGCCTCTGTGCCGGTGGTGAGGGACTGGTGTCCCCACTGTCCTCCCTGGGGTGGGAGCAGATGCTGACGGGACAGGGGAGAGCATCCCGCCCAGCTCGCTTCCCTGGCGGCTGCATTAAACGGGCAGTCTGGCAATACAGCAATGGAGAAGAGCTGTAAGGGAGCTGGGATTAAAAGAGATTTACTTGGATAACAGTAGAGCAGGGAGCAGTTAAACTGGTGAGTAACTGGAGCCAGGCCTGCTGCTGGAAAGCCTCAGACTGTCTTTTGCCCCAGTTCTTTAAAGGCAATATGGAATTACTGCACATCTTGGGTGCTCTGTGCCTGTGAAAAGCCGGAGGAGGGGTGGAGGTGACGCAGGGGCCATCCCTGCTTCTCCATGCGTAGCCTCTGGAGCAGGAGCCCCCTGAGTGGCGCAGGCACCCCCAGGTACATGCGGGGTCCAGCAGCTGTAGGCAAGGGGCCCCATGGGGTTTGGCACACCCCTGGCAGATGTCCCTCTGCCACTGTGCCCAGAGATGCATAAAGCCTAGAAGCAGGAGCAAAGGGGGTTTCTGCAAGCCTCTGCCTCTGGGGTGGGCAGCAGAGGAGCCAGCCTGGCTTTCCCAGAGGGTGAGCTGATGAGCCTGAGAGCTCCCAAAATCCCCCTGCCATCCCATGAGACTGGCTCATTGCGGTGATCCACTCCTGAGGACTCGTTTGCTTCCAATCAAGCCGCTCCCAGGGGTCTAACGAGGCCCTGAAATGAGGGCAGCTCATGGCTGGCAACACGTTTTCAATGGGAACGCAACTTTCCAGCCTCAGAAGGGGAAGTCTGGAATTCCCCATCAAGAGGGGACGAGAGCTGATGCTTCCTCAGTAAGAAACCACAAGTTTCATCTCTATTTGGAAGGACCGCAAGTTTCCTCAGTACAGCCCCTTGCTGCCCACCAGGATTCACTTCTCCAAACGGTGCCCCAGATTCTTCCTCCCAGCTCAGCGCTGAGCCCAGGGCAGGTTTCATTTCTCCTCTCCCCACCTTAGCTCCAAAGCTGAACTCACCCAGACGATGATGGAGAAGAAGGAGAAGGTGATTGCTGCCCGGGCAGCGTCTGCTCCTTGTGAAACCCCTCTGCTCATTGTCGTCCGCTGCCACTGGTTTGCTAGGAAGCAGAAGGCTACAAACCACAGGAAGGACACGAAACCTGAAAGAGAACAGAGCTGGTCAGTGCTGTCCCTGCCCACCGCTGCCTCTGCTGCCAGGACCCCCGTTTGCTGATGCACAAACATGCTGCCATCAATATTTTCAAATAGCAACCGTGATCTTGGGTGCCTTGGCCTGTGCTGTGGCCCAAATGGAGCTATTTTAGAAGAGGCTGATTTGCAATCGCCACAAAAACAGGGATGGAAGGAAGCTTGTAGGGCCACCCAGCATATTGCCTGCCCGAAGTTTAGCTCACCCACATTTCAACCTGATCTCAAAGACCTACAGGGACAGCACAGCCTCTCTGGACACGCAGTCCTCGCAGTCTGTGGGATTTCAGCCTGCTCGCAGGCATCAAGGTGCTAACAACTCATTTCCAGCAACCCAGTGTGTCGCTCCACCATTCCCTCTGTTCCATGGACACCACCGGCTCTTAAAAACTTTGGGCTGGATACTGCAAACCTCACCCAGGAAGAAGAACAGCACCAGGCTGCTCGGCTGATGCAGGAGATGGCTTTACAGCTGTTCTGTGACGGGCTATGCCTTGGTCCTACCCAAGGACACAGTTGGAGAACTTAAAAAAAGGCAAGGAACAATCACCCAGGAATATGGACAGGTTGAGATTAACCCCGCTCTGAACACGGGGATCACAAGTGACCCAGGGATGTCAGTGCATCCCACAAGCGAAGCAAACAAGCAAGTGCTCATCGTGCACCATGCCCAGGGCAGTGATGCAGCAGGGCTGCCCGTGGAGCTGAGAGGCACACGGGCTTCATGTGAGGGATCTCTGCTTGTCCCTGCTGCCCTGCGCTGACTGCGCTCCTGTTCTCAGCCTCTCTGGGCTCTGCGGGATTGAGCAAAAACGCTCTGGTGATTATTCCTTACTGGAACCAAAGCTGGCTGAGCAAGATAGGGCTGCAGCTCCCCTAATTCAATCACCAGCCAACAACACTGACTGATGCCAAGGAGCTCAGAAAATAGTCAAGAAGCAAGCCACAAGCACGCAGTGTACGGAGCAGTGATGCTTTCCAGTGCTGGGAAGAGGAGCTGCATAACCTGAAGCCTTCCATGACGCTGTTTTAAGGGTCTCCAGCTTTCCTGAGGATTCCCAGTGCAAAGGTCCCCCCACGCACCAATTCTGTGTGTCAGTGCACATGGGGACGTTGAGCTACCCAGTATCTTCCAAAGGATGGTTAGCACATCAGTATGAGCAGCCACACTGCCAGTCCCATGGGGCAGCCAGCTGCAAAGCACAGTCTGACTGCAGGGAGAGGAAAGGAGCTTCTTTATTCCCCTTTATCTTGCCAGTTGTTCCTAAGTACGATATAAAATCCACGCATGCATCCATAACCAGAGTGAGAGTTACAGAGCTCATTGCACACCCCGCCTTTAATTCAGAATTTGCTCCTAAATGCAGTTTAAGAAAACGCACTCCTCATCTCCTTCTCTTGCACGATGGGGCCTGGGGCTTCCTGACCAGCGGATGCTTTTGTCTGCCTGGCTGTGCTTGAGCCCTTGAACTGCCCTCAAAGCAACACAAACTCCAGCCAGGATCATCTAGGCTTTCATTTTCCAAATTACAGACTAATACCACAGCCTCATTTTGCTTAATACAGTTAATGCCTGCCACCAAATCTGCCCCAAACCTCTGCATACACATTTTCACTTCCCCTTAGCATGACCACTTGTTGTCAGTGTTAAATGAGACCTCTGGGGCTTATACCTCAAAGGTCATCCTCAGGGACAGAGATGCTTTCTAGACCCCCAACTCTGTTATAATGGGACTTTACCAGCAGCTGGCCCCCCTTGAGGGAAGCAGATCCAATCCCTAAATGTGGACACAGGAAGATGCACACCTGAGATATGGCACTGGCTGCAGCTCGGATTACCAGTAGTGGTCCCCAGGTCTTGGCGCCGGAGATGCTGAACAACATCTCCAGATGTTGCCCTGCTGCAGCGCTCCCACCTCCAGGTACCTGGGGAGCAAATACCATGGCAGCGGGGAGCACTGCCCTCCCGTGCTCGAGAAGCAAGCCTCAGTCAGGAGTTTCTTGCTCAAATAGGCACCTTCCTGGAGACAGCGGTGTTTGGAAGTCAAAACACCAGTGATCAAACATAAGAGCAGTTCCAAACAGGCTAATTCGGAGCCGCACTGTGGGGAGCAGAAGGATGTTCAGGGACAAGCTCTGGGGCCATGCAGGGCTGGCACCAAGGGACACAGGGGCTTTCCAATAGGACTGGGCTGTTTCACTGGTTTATAGAGGGTGAACTTGTTCTGGAGGACTGTTTCTTTGTTTAACACTCAATTGAGTGCAGTAGGTCCTTCCTCATATGCTCCTGGGCAGGACACTACCACAGAGCATGAGTCACAGCCACGACATGAGGACTACCTGCCAACTAGTGCCACAAAGCCCCATCTATCACTGGTGTCTTCTAAGGGTTTTCAAGAGTTAAAATGACATCATGCACATCTCTGAACGTGCACCGGCTGCGCTGAGTATTGCAGTTACTGGCTTCCTCTGCAACACTGAGATACGCAAGATGCTGACCTTCCCAGTGCTAAAACCATTAGCTTTTTCAGCCAGAAACCTCTAGCTGGGGTCACTTCTGCTGCTACCCGTGTGGAATTCCTGGAGGTTTCGTGACACAGACAAGCCTTTCCCCTCCACATCCAGCTCTGCCTGGATCCTTGAGAAGAAAAAGGATTCCCTCCAGTGCCCTGTGGAAGCGGGAAGGCAGGTATCGCTGCCAATGGGGGAGACAGGGTCAGGCATGGAGAGCATCTCCAGAAACACCAGCCAGGCATTGTTCGAACATCAGACCTCCCAGGGAGCTCTATGGAAACTATTTTTGTTTCTGTACCAGCACTTATTTTCATTTGTGATCATGTTCACCTTCTGCTAGCACTCCTTCAAGATGAGACTTTGCACCTGATAATGTGAATCAGACACGCAGGATTGCAGCTGACTCCCCTCGCTCCTGGCACCTCACCGGGAACACGGCTGTGCCCTCATCCGGCACCCACGGCACCACGTCCCGGTTCCACGGAGGGGCTGGCAGTGCCTGCACCCAGCCTCCGGTGTATTTGCAGCATCAGGTGTAAGTGGGTGTTTTGGAGGTGTCTGTCACTACCCATGAATTTTAAAACCTCACAAAGAGGGCTGAGCTGCCAGTGGTGTGGTGTGGCTACCTGTGCCAGTTCCGACTGCATCTGGAAACAGGCACAGTAGCAGCTCTGCACCCGCCAGGACGCTGGGGAAAAGGAGCACGCCAGGAAGCACTGTAAGAGCCAGTAGATAATTATCGGTTTAGGATCTGCAGACAACAGAGTGCAAACACCAGGAAAGATGCGTTACAGCCATAATTACAGCCTGGTCCCAAGCAAGCGCACATCTATGGGAGCAGCTGTAAGAGCAGATGGAAGAGAAAGTCATAAATGCCATTTGCACAGCACCGTGGCCCTGCCTGCACCCCTGCCTGCACCCCTGCCTGCGCCCCAGCATTATCTCCCAGCCAGCTCAGTGGCTCTGATCTGCCACTGATCTGATACACGAGTCCTTTTTCCATCAAGAGAAAGTAAGTTGTGGGTTAACGCTTTCATTAACTCCCTGCCCCAACCTCCAGAGACAGCAACTGCCAGTCGACATCTGCTTTGCTAGCAGCCGGCATCAGGCTCCTGGGTGACCCAGGCAAAGGGCCAGAAACAACCTGCTTTTCTCACACACACCCCCACACCGCCCGGTTTGCAATGCTTCCTCGTACCCAAGCATGTTCCTCACCCGGTTACCTCCCAGATGCATTTTCGGCTTTTATATTAAGCAATGATGCAGAGATCACATATGGAGAGAAAGGATGAAACAGTTGCAAGGAAAAAGGGGGAAACCAAGCATCTCATCCTTAGTGGGGAGGAAAAAAGAAGGGGACAGCGTAAGACAGTCCCGGGGTGAAGTCTCCAGGGGATATTAACATGGAAGTAGTTAAACAAGGCAAATTACATAGGTCAACTCTGCCTCCTGGCAGGTTCGGTGCCTGAGGCCACTGGGAGCAGTGCAGAGGGGTACGGTGGGCTGCGATCTCTGCAACTGCAGAGGTTCCACGTGCCAACAAAACCCTGCACTTCATCTCTGCTGCGGGATCTGCTTGTATCGAAGCTTATTCTGGGAGCAACCAACTGCCTGGCATTTCCGTGTGAGTGGGTGTACAGGCTATGGCAGTAGGGCTGTAAGAAAGGTTTGGGGCAGCCATAATTTTAGAGAAGGGAAGGCACAGCACTAGGAATGGGATAAAATACACTGGGCAGGAACCCACCCTGGCATCTCCCAGTGAAATGAACCCATTGCTTGTCCATGCAGCAGAAGGGTGCTTTGCACACCGAGCATCCATGCAGCTAATGGCTTGTGCCACTGCTTCAACTGCTGCAGGATTTGGGTGGGAAGGGACCTCCGGGTGCCACGTGTCCAACCTGCCCCTCCAAGCGGGGTCAGATGGGGAAGGGAAGGACCAGACTGAGCAATTGCTCCTGCTGGACCCCAGGGACCTGCACCCTCCCCGGGAGCAAACAGGGCAACTGCATGTCAGCAGCATTTCACGCAATTTGGGCTCAGGAAATGTGAAAAACTGACCTAGGTGGAGATGTGTTTACCTGCAACCATGGACTTTGTTACAAAAGCCCTGGGCAATGCTCCTGTTTATATCAGCACTGAGCTGGATTTCAGCACAGCATTTGCTAGGGTGCCCTGTGGTAAATGATTCGTTAAGCAGGGAAAGCGGGGATTGTACAAGAGCAGCAAGAAAGGTAAGGACCTACTGGGAAGCGTTAACAGAGGCAATGCCAGGCTGGAGGAGAGCTATAGAAGACCGCTCTTTGCAGACCCCGATAGGTGACACTGTGTCGGTCATAGGCTCGCATCCACACAACCTGCATGTAAGTGACTTATTTGTTTTACCAGCAAGGAAGCAGCTTGCCTGTTTTCTACCAAGAAGCCTGCAGAGGAGATGGCCTGAGGGAGCAGGACGTCTCTGCCCAGACACAGGCTGAAGACACGATGCACCTGGAGCACACACAATGACCCAGGGTGATCCTAGGGTGGATTTACCAGCACAGACCTCTGGTGCAATACTGCAGCCTGTCCCCAGGGCAGAGCACAACCCCTGCACGGCAGAGGCTTTGCAGGGCAGAAACCATCTTCTCCAGCTCGCTGCTGAAGCCCCTGAATGCGCACGCAATCCAAGGCAAGTGCAAAAGAGAAACGAGGCAGAGATTGAGAGTGGTACCATTTCACATATGCCTGGCAGGGGAGAGAATGGCTGTTACAAGGTGGAAGGCAGGGAGGATCACAGCCTCACACCGTGACACGCAGCATCAGCCAGAAGATGGATGTGATGTTCCCCTTCCGTTTGAATTGAAGGGTTGCAGGCACCGAGCCCCACGGAAGGAGCTGTAAATATCATCTAACAAGGGCTGGATGCTGGCGCTCTAGGACCATGGAAATAAGCTTTCTAGCAAGGAGAGAACATCCTTAACAACAGGCAAGTGCAGGGAGGCGATGACGGATGTTTTCATTTGGGACCAGAGAGCCATCAGCGACGCCTGTGCTGGATAAATCACCTTCAGACTTTGTTAACACAAGAGCCTGGAAATGGAGAACATCAGCTGGCAACTCCCACAGCAGCCAAGCGGAGGACAGCCTCTCCTGGCTCAAGGCACCCCGCCTGCTCATGTTCACATGGATGAGCCCCAGGTCAAGGGGCTCAAGATGGCACAGAAGATCTGTGCCAGCCCTTGGGAGACCCGGACCCACCTGCACACCGCAGTCCTTGAGGCAGTGAGGGATTACAGCGGTATGTAAAAGCGTGTTTCTGCTTTGTTCCAAAACACACATGCACAAAGTGAAAACAGACCCAGATGTAACTGATGAAATGACATTTGCTTGAGCCAGAAACAGGAGATGTGGGAGGGTAAAACGCTCTGGTCTACGAGATGCAACCACCAAGCCTCACTTCTCTGGGCGGCCTCACTGAACCCAGCTCAGCAAACGTCTCCGGTTGCAGAAGTGACACAGACGAGTGGGACACCCCGCTGTCCCCAGGCTGCCACGCACCGGCTTCCTCGCTCCTGCCTCTGAGCTCACGGCTGGATGGGACAACCCATCTGCCACCTCTGTTCTCCCCAACTGAGGCACACGAGTTGTGCCATGCTGTGGGAGGAGAGAGGAGGACTCAAGCACGGAGCTGCAGGGCACAGCAACGACCTTGCGCTGCCCATGGAGCCAGCATCATCCTTCACAAGCACAGGAAAGCCAGAGACGTACCTGAAAAGCCAAGGTCCAGCAGGACGGCCCGTTTGCGGTCCTTCACACTGCTGATCTGCTGGAAGTAGAGGTCCACGACAAAGAAGAAGATGCAGCCAAAGAAGGCAATGATGCCAACGGCAATGCCATAACTGCAGGCACTCTCATTATCGTTGAAGATGCAGAGCAGCTCGGGGTTCTGGCTGTCCTTGTTCACGTAGCACTCGTTCACGATGGAGCCAAACACCACGATGGAGAAGATCTGCAGAAGGAAGGAGAAAACACAACTTGCTGCTGTTTACATTTAACTCTGTTTTCCAACAGCAACGTAATTGGATTCAATCCTGTCTTTGACTCCATGGCAACATGGCATTTGTTAGACAGATCCCGACTCTCGTCTGGTTGGTGGCCCAAAGCAGTGGGCTGGTGGACAGTACCTAGTCCTCCTTTGCTGTGAGCTTGTCTGCCTTTCAGTGGCTTGGTTTGCAGAGTATTTTAAGAGATGTTATTCTCCAGACAGACTGAGGAGGGAAAAAATAAATAGATGGGACAGGTCTTTGCACAGTCTTTCTGCTTGTGCTGCTCTCCTTTGTCAGGCTGTGCTCGATAAACCCCCTTGTGTCACTGTGGAACAGGGAGAAATGAAGTTACAGAGGATAATTGAGTTGCTGAGCAGGCTGACCCAGGAAAGGACTTGATGCCCAGTGGAGGGGGGACGGGATATGGCAGAGTGGGGAGGTGGGGAGCAGCTCACCTGGGCACAGCAGGGCAGGGGGACAGGCTGCCCTGTGAATGACAGGGCAATTTTTTGCCTGGCTTAGCAGGGGTTGAGGGATGCAGCACCTGCATCCATTATCCAGTGACTTGGGTTTGGCCCTGAGAGGGACAAAAGGGCAGGAAGGTTGCTGGTGGCTGACCAGGTCCCACTGCTGGGACCTGAGCGTGTTTCACATCCCTGCAGGCAGGGAAGGAGCTGGATGGCGGCACACAGCCGGCTGCCTAAATTAATACCATTGACGATGCTGCATGCTAAAGTAATTCCCTTATCCTTCTGACACCAAAGGCAGCAAGCGGAAGCCATGGGACCAGCTGCATTATAATTCACTCTGGAACCTGCTCCTTTAGATCCTAGAAAGTGCTGCACCGCCGGCTGGATTTCAAGGCTGCGAGCAGGGAGGGAAGCAAGGCGTGCAGATGCCCCTCCATCACGCTGCGAGCCTCTGATCTTGTCCCTCACTGCCAGCACCAGCTCCTCACATCCCTACACGCCTCCCCCCCCCGCCGGCTCACAGGACACAGCTGGAGGCCATGTATGCAGGCAGAGAGATAAGAGGCTCCTCCAGCACACCCCAGCGTGGCGGGTGGCCGGGGGCAGCCGGGGGGTTGGGGGACGGGGGAGGCCC